TAGCTTACAGTTGCTGATTCTTTAGATCTTTCTCTATTTCCACAATACGATCCAATTTGTGCAAGAACCAGTGATCAATGCTTGTCAGTTCGTGTATTTGATCCACTGTATAGTTCTGGTGAAGCGCCTGGAGATGAAAAGCAACAGGTTTGTCAGGTTTACCAATGTTCCATGTCAATTCAAAGGAAATCAATGACACCCCCTGTTTAACTTCTCTCGAGAGACATGACCAAAAAAAAAAAAAGAAACGCTGCGAGAGCGACTACACGAGGACGGCTCTTATTAGAGGGCGATGCAGAAACATGTCGCAGAAAAAATTCGCTTCATGTGACTTGGACATCTTTTCATAAGTTTTTCTTATCTTTGCACAATTTTTTGGAACAATATCAGTATATGAGCAACTGCACCTACCCCTCCTCTAACGCAACATTAACCCTAACTTGTTATAAGTTGCTGTTGTTGGGTTAGGAGAAGGGTAGATACACAGTTGCTTAGATACTGACATTGATCCTTTTCATTGCATCTGGGGACTGGGACGGGAAAGGAGGAGGAGGAGCATGGAACTGGGCCAGAAATGACGTACTGTGGCAAGCTGTATGAATAAGACCGAAGTTTTTCTATGTTGTATCGTGTTTCCTGAAAAAATCTTGTTCAAATTAAAATTGGTCTGAACCTGTGGGTATGATCGCCTCGATAAAATCGGATTAGCAGCGACTTGTGGTGTAAAGTGTCCCCGCCTTTCAACTAAAGGAGAGTGCTTTCATCACCTTAGCGATGGAGTATACTCTTGTGTTTGATGGAACAACTAGCTCATCTTCAAGTTTGCCGTCTGTCAACTCCTGATGCATACTGGGAAGCTACAACAAAGAACAAACACGCAGGTTACTCGTACAGATATTAGTTAGGATTGTTCATCGGCTAAAGTTTTCAACTCCCTCGATTGCATTCCGTTTTAATCCGTTAACTTCCAAGATCTGATTGTCAGTTCTCCTCTCTTTTACACATTTCCATGTAAATCAGTTACGAGAATTTGGTGTTAGTCCTTAGCCATCTTTGCCCCTTATTGGTTTATTTTTACCGCCTTTGTGGCAACTCGTTCACCACCATCAAGACCGAGGAAATCTGGTACGGAGCCATCAAACCGCTAGCCCGTCGTTTCAAGTCTTCAAGGCTAAAAAATTTTGTATTCTCCTTCAGGTTCAAAGTAATTTTGAGCATCTAAGAGTGACTTGAAATATGAAGACCTCAACGTGTCAAAATTCTGTAATAGCACTTACCTTGGACACAAAGCCATCCACTGAGGGATGCACCATACGCAAAGCTTTCTGAAAGCTCTCCTCAAATGTTCGACCGATCGCCATAACCTGGTAAAAAACGTACTCAAAATTCAGTTCTAAAATCAAGTCAGCTTATAACCATCTAACGGTGATCCCAAACCTTAGGAGGACGGTGCGGCCATACGAAAAGCGCAGTGCACTCGATAAATTACCTTAGCAAAATTTGCTAACTTGAATATTGTAGAATTGTTTAATCAGAGCTCTGTTTTAAAATGGCTTAATCTATATATTGAAGAAAATGTGATATTGCGCTGTTTCCATACTCTCTCTACGAAGAGTCTTTACTAAACCAGCCGAAAATAAAGTTAGAGACCAAAAAAAACTACAAAATTAAGAGATAGAAAGTTACCTGAATGGATTTCTATAACAAATAGTTCTCAATATCACCAAATCCATGAAAACTAACCCTTTATTCAAGATCTGAAAGTAGTTTCTTCGGTGTCTGAATTTGACAAATTTCGCTTATTAACACATTCTTCAGTCAAAGAGGGATTCTTACCTCTCCAACACTTTTCATCGAGCTCCCGATCTGTTTGGAAGTCATATGAAATCTGTCCAAGTCCCATCTAGGAATCTGTAATTGATAAAAGGACAAGAATTAATTGCCTTGTCGTTGACGGCTTTTCGTGGCGAAAGCAATTCTATTCATTGACTTAAAAGGTTAATAATACTATTTCGAGTCATTCTGGTGGGCTGTGAGTGAGTGCACGTCTCCTCAATGAATATTATTTGCATTTTGTCAAGTACAGAACATGTCTCTAAAATGGAACCCCATTTCATTGTCTGTTTTACACGTTAGTTTTTATTGTAATTCCCAGTAGAGAAGAAAATTGGGATGAAAATGAGTTAAGTGGGAATTTCTATGAACGAAAAGCATAGTAAAACTATGGTTGTTTAGGTGTTTTTTCCTTGAACTTCCACCTTGAGAACAGAGAGAAAGAACGCCGTTTATGCGAACAGTAAAAATTTGCCTTTTGGTCTCTGCTTTTCAGCGGTTGGTGAGTAAAGGGAAATCATTAAACTTGCTATGAATAGGAAAAATATTTCTAAGCTAAGGTTCAACCTGTAAATTTTATAGTTTGCGCTTGATTTAACAAATCTGAACCAGTTGAAACGTGATACGGAGGAAGTAAGCACAAATAAAGGAGTTTTCAAAGAGTTTTTTTTTCCAAATATGCCACATCAATGTAGCCATAAAGTGAGAATTGAACCTTGGTGACAATGTAATCGAGGCTTGGCTCAAAACAGGCCGTTGTTTGCTCTGTTGTAGAGTTCTTGATGTCAGGAAGTTGTATTCCAAGTGCGAGCTTGGCTGCGATGAATGCCAGAGGATATCTGCAAGATATTAATAACACGAAACATTCAGGAAGAATGATGATATTCACACCAGCAATTTTAGGGGTTAAGGGAGATTAAAGACTTGGAGGAGGTTTCAGTTGAGGTCAAATGCAATTTTCGCTTTTCCTTCAATTTTTTTCTGTGATTGGTGTAGAAAACTTGCCCTATACTCTCAAACAATCAAATGCAAGCTAAAATCACGCTTCAAGCAGTCTGGGCATTTTTCACCTCGAGTTGCCGCTGGCTCTTTGCAACATTTCTGTTTGTACTGAATGGTCTTGTGATTTTTTTTTGGTTTTGGTTTAAAACAATTTTGCGTATTACAATTAAGGTGGCTAGTACATGCGCGCGAGCGGAGCCCAATAGACAAGAAAAATAACATAACCGCTCAGGCCGCAAAATGTTTTTTTGTCACCTTACCGACGTGACTCTGTGCACTGAACCATGTAAGATACGCAATTTGAACGTCTACTTTTAGGCTTGTAATAAGTCTACCTAACATTTACCCGGTAGCTTTTGATGCGAGGGCAGAGCTTCTGGACAAACGGGCATTGACTTCAATTATACAGTACTCCAGAGACTTTGGGTGCAGAGCATACTGTATGTTACATTCACCAATAATACCAAGATGGCGTACAACCTACAACAAAAAGCATCAATTTAAGATCATAAGGGCATCCTACATGAAGGATTAACTGATAGTAAATCACATCAGCCAGTCACTCAAGTTATTGAAACAAATAAAATTTGAGAATTTTGATTTAAAAGAGTAAAGAAAGGAATGAAACCTTAAGTGCTGTTTCCCGCAGCATGTGATATTCCTCATTTGACAGAGTTTGACTTGGTGCCACAACCACAGAGTCACCTGACACACACACAAAAAAAATATATATATGTGTTCATTTTATAATAGACCTCTCTCTACTGGAGAGTATAGGTAGCTACCGGCAAACTGTCAGGGAAAAAATGGTGAGGTGTAAAGATAACCTACATTGGACTAATAGCCCAATCAGGAGATGTAACAATATCCCCAAGTGCTTAATGCTGCAGAAATTAATATAATCTCCGGAAGCCCTGCGAATCAGCGTTGTATGCAAACTCGTCATAAGTAGCTTTATACACGTACACTGTACCTGTGTGAACTCCTAAAGGATCAAAATTCTCCATGTTACATACAGTGATGCAATTATCAGCGGCATCCCTGACGACTTCATACTCAATTTCTTTCCAACCCAACAAAGATTTCTCAATCAGAATCTGATTTGATAGCTTGAGTGCCTGGAAACAACAAAAACTCTACGTTGATTCATAAAGAACGATGTTTCTTCGCCTAGTCACAGACGTGGACCAGAGGAAAATTATAAACCCTGTGTGGAATCGAGCCTCAGACCTAAGAATTTCAAACTCTGATCTTCTAGCACTGAGCATATGAAGGTCTGAAGTACTTAAGTGGTGTTCATCACTGCGAAGATCGCTTTAAAATTCATTTCTTAATCCGCAGATCACAAATATGATTTTCATATATTCAGTTATCTATTCATCACTTCACGGGTTTATTACAAACCAACAAAATGATCAGCTCCCAGTTGGCTTGTTGGCTCAGTTGGTTGAGCACTGCATGGGTATGGCAAAGGTCATGGGTTCAAATCCCGTACAGGCCTGACTTTTCTTAAGGTCTTATTTCACTAAGGCTTAAGTAAAGTTCATTACTGCGAATGTTCTTGAAGGGTATAAATCCCACAAATAGCTACGGATACCCAACTGTACTTAACAAGGGGGTGCCCTGCTCTATTGTATAAACCCATATTCTTTTGAGCATACAGCGCCCCATCTATACACCTAGAATAAAAACATTACATACTTTTTTTCTATCTTAACGTTCACAGAAAAAAGAAAAGATGAGTTATAACCGATCAAGTGTAACAAAACAAAAGAAAAAAATCAGTGTTTGTCTAAAGCTTTATAAACGGGTTATGCGTTGCCTAGCTTGTAGTACTGACAAGTTTCAGTTTAACCAAATCACCTGTCTTGCGACTTCTCTCAGTTTCTCTTCATTTTCACACAAGCCGGATCCCAGTCCTCCAAGAGCATACGCGGCTCGAACCATTACTGGAAAACCAATGTTCTTGGCAGCCTTTACAGCCGACTCTTCCTGCAACAGATAACATACGTCTCAAAACATTTAAGGGTACAATACATTTTTTTTAAGATTAAAAGTACTAAAAAAAAATGTTACCAAAAGTGAGAACACAATCATATATTGCGACAATTCAGGTGAGATTACTCCTGGTGGGGGCAGTAAATGACGATTTGACAACTGCGCTGATTAAGGTCGAGTGACTTGATAAGAAGACCTACCGTTTCCACTGCGACGCTAGGTGCTATCTTCTCTCCAATCTCTGTGAGTTTGTCTGAAAAAATTTGTCTGTCTTCTGTGGCTTTGACTGACTCTATCGGTGTTCCAAGCACCTGAAAATGCAAAATGTTTAAACACGCACTTCACTGCTAGGGAAAGCTGCTTGAATGTGTGTGATACAGAAAAATTGACTAATAAAACTCTACTGTAAATGCTGGGATAACTGAAGGGAATGTTCTGCCTTTGCTAAGGGATCCGAAAATGGTTAGACGTTCCAGTCTTCTCGGATAGGGACGATAAACTGTAGTTCCCGCCTCCTGCATCTCCTCTGTACTGGTTAGCATGGGACGTTAAAGAACCCATACAACTTATGAAATTTGAAAAGATACCTTGATTTTAAGCTTATCCTTATCAATAATGTTCTACAGTTCAAGCATAAAAGTAAAAAGATTTCATACCTCAACACCATATCTCTTCAATACTCCCTTGTCATACAGCTCAACTCCTGGAAAACCAAGAACAGAAAAAGAGACAATTTAACCCTTTAAATCCTAAGAGTGACCAGCATCTAATTTCTCCTAACAGACAAACTACTAAATCATTCATTACGATCACGAGAATAAAGGAAATGATCGCCAACCTAAAAAGATTTGGTTGTTAAACAAAATTCTCCTTGTCAGTACCAAAGCAAATGTATAGTAAAGAGTGTGGAGAATCTGGATACTGATGTTAGGGTCTAATGAGTTAAGCATTTTCTTTAAAGCGACATCTACAGGATAAGAAGTACACAAGAGTAAAAGGCTCATTTCCGATCATACCGCAGTTTAAGGCTGTTTGACCGCCCATCGACAATAAAATTCCATCTGGTCTTTCACGCCTTATGACATCTTCAACAAACTGTTCAGTTATGGGCACAAAGTACACCACATCTGCCTGGGACAAAAACAAGAATGCAATTTAAGTGTGTGGCTGTGTGCGAACTCTGGTGGAAATGAGTTGAAATGCGTTGGATTTTAATTATGACAAACTATGATTTACTGTGAAACTACTACACTTCCGTAGTGTGGTTTAAACTGTTAACAGTAAGTGATTGTAGTTGGCCAGCTCACGAAAAGAACGATGATGAAAGCAAACGATTTTGTACCTGTTTCTCTCCTTCTGCATTAGTTTGAACTGAGGCAATGTTAGGATTCATCAGAACAGTCTTCATATTTTCTTCCTACAACAGACATGAACAAATGAAACATTACCCATAGTGTACAATGTTCAACTCATCAATCACTGCGAACGAACCATCCTTAAAATATCGCATCACAATTTGGGGCAATCAGTCCATTTGGCTTAAGGAAATAACTTAAAAAAATAAGTAAATTAATAAATCAAGTCCCTCCTTTTCGGCGAAGTCTGTCGCGCAAGTAAACAAAAAAAAAAGTGCAAAAAAAAAAAATTGCTGGTAGCGCGCTGCGCAGAATTTTCGTGCACCTTACTGTCGGAGCTTCACACAGCGCGTTAACATCAATTTTTTAAGGCTTATTTTTTTAACTCGTGTTACAGACTTCACTGGCAAGGAGGGACTGCTTGTAAGCTATAAATAAATCAAGATTGAACTTAATTTGAAAAAGAAATCTGATTGTTTCGCAGATATCAAACCTTCAACGCCTTTATTGCTTGAGATCCGGAATAGTCAAACTCTCCAGCTTGACCGATGGACAAACCACCAGAACCTAAGACTAACACTTTTGACACCTGAAAAATTAACCGGTTATTTGATTTTATTACATTGTTGAGTTTTTATGTTCTCTACGCATCAGGCAAGAAGACCTGTTCAATTTGGAGAACATTGGTAGCTGTTGTACATTAAAGGATGGAAAATGAACAAAGAAGATGACAGAAAATTGCAGCGAAGTATCCTCTGAACAAAATAGCAAAGAAATGAAAAACTGTAGGTATATAACGATTCAGGGTCCAAACAACATCCGCAGCAAAACGGTGACGGGGACACAGCAAGGAAAGAGAAAATGGGAGAGACTAGACAGCAGCTGAAAAAAAGAGAAAGGAAGTGGGGTAGATATCTTGGAATGAGATGATGAACCACAGCAACTGAAAGAGAGGGGTGGTGGGGCTTACGTGTCGCAAAGCTTTGAGTAGATGAGTAACAGGTAAATCCCAGTATGAAGATTCCTTACCTTAGGAGGTGTTGGAACTTTAAATGGTCTCCCCATTGCATGGTCCACTGATGTTTTCCCACCTTTTACAAGATTCATGAATGTGTCAAACAGAAACTATAACAAAGAAATTAAGGCCAGTTAGGAAAAGAGATTACATATTCTGGTTCTTGAGACGTTAGTAAGGAATGAGACAAAGGTCACCTCTGTGTCTGTTGGTCCACCAAATGCCTCCGGATGAAACTGTGCAGTGAAGATAGGTTTGTCCTTGTGCATGATGCCCTATGAATGACGATGCAAGTAAAAAATTCAATAAATAACGTGACAAATGAATATATTAGACAGACAATTTGGTTTTTATCAACTGAGTTGACAATGTAAAGAGTTACTAAAGCTGACGTTTTGCGTGTTAGCCCTTCGTCAGTGTAAATGACGCCCGAAACGTCACCTTTAGAAAATCTTTACGAGGGCCAATTTTCATTATCAGTTCAGCTGATAAAACCAAATTATCTTGTATTTTCCCCTGATGACACAGCACTTCAGTTCCATTCATTCATCAAAAAATTTCATTCCCCACGACCTTCGGTTTCTGTGCTCATTACATAGCAAACATAATCTTTTTTTCTATTTTTCCAACACCAAGCTCAAAACTCCGTAATACATCGTCCTTATTCTAAAAAGGCATATATATAGAAATAGGTAAATCCGTAATGTGTTGGTTTTCACGGGCAGCGGTTTCAGTAAAAGCTGGTTACCGACAGTCTATCGAGATAGATAGTAAGATCTCTTACTGCTGACTGTTTAGCTTGCAAGCAGGATCTCGTTTGGGTTTCGCCTTGGCGTACAATTGCCTACAACATCATCAGAAGCCGTTTAATAAAAAAGTTATTAAAAGCCTGGCTTGTACCTCATTTGTGTTGTCATTGGCATTAATAAACAGTGATTTCCAATCTGAAGGAAGAGTCTTCTCATCAATGGCATATCCATGATTCTGGGAGGTTATAAATGCTTGTCCATTGAGTTGGTTAATCACTGGCTGATTGTGTCCTCTGGAAAAAAAATAGGAATATTTCGCTGAGTCTTTTAGTTGTCAAAAGCTGACCTGGTTGCACTTAAACCATCTAACCCCTAAGAGTGATTGGCTTCTTATTTCTCCTTACTTTATCACCTTTTAATTACATATTAAGGTCATGAGAATACAGGAAATGATCACCCATTGATGAAGCTATTCATTGTTGAACAAATCCTCCTAATCAGCACCTTAGGAAATGTATAGAGAACAGTATGGAGGGACTACGCTTACTGATGTGACAGAGTAAATGATTAGACATGATCAAAAGGCAAATGAATTTACCTGTTTCCAAGTGGCAGCTTGTAAGTCTGTGCACCAGCTGCCAGACCGGTAAGTTGATTCCCCATGCAGATACCAAATATTGGCTGGTTACGCTCATTCTTCAACACCTTCAAAGGATGGCCAAAGAGGAAAATTAAATACTCAAATGATACACAGGACAATGGAGCAGTTTCTTGTATTGGACTCTAGGGTCAGTGTAACCTGGACCTGTGATTATGGACTGTGTTTAGGTACAAAAAAATTGTTATTAAATACACATCCTTCACAAGGACACATGGAAGAGTTTAAGACAGAAAAAGGACAAAAAACAAATACAGTACAGCATGGTCACCCGTACAACAGCCTTGGAAATTTACTTAACCCTTTAACTCCCTTGAGTGATCAAGGCTGAATTTCTCCTTGCTATTTCAACCCAACATCAAGCAGACAAGTGATAAGAATAAAGAAAGATATCAAGTAGGGGATTATATGTTGATCCAATACAAATTCTCCAAACTAACATCACAAGAACTGTATGGCAGACAGTAAGGAGAATTACTAATGAGATCTTGGGAGTTAAAGGGTTAACCCTTTAACTCCCTTGAGTGATCACAGCAAAATTTCTTACATGATCAAACAGATAAACGTTGAGAGTAAAAAATAATAACAATTAGGAGATTATTAGCTGATCCAAAACCAAATTCTCTGAACAAACATCACATGAATTGTATGGCATAGAGTAAGGAGAATTACTAATGAAATAGAATGGGACTGAAAGGGTGAAGCAGAGGGAGAAGTTCACTAGTGTTAATATAAAAAGACAACCAAACCTTGCGCAGATTCAGAACAGCATCCCATACCATGGCAGGGTCACCGGGCCCATTGGAAATAAATAAACCATCATAGATATCCTCTGAGTAATCATAATTCCAAGGCACCAAGTGAACTTCTGCATCTCTCTACAGAAGCAAAGCACATGAAGACATGGCTAGGTCAAACCCTTAACTGTCTAACACCTGAGAGTAACGAGCATCTAATTTCTAACTAAGGTGTCACTGCTTATTCAAATAACAGTGTCTAAAATCTGACTGTAGTGTCTAAAATTGGAACCTTAAACCAGACAATAGAGTCTAAACACTAGTGTCTAAAACCTGGACACTGATGCCTGCATTGGACACCAGCATCTTAGATTGGACAGTAATGTCTTAAATTGAACACCAGTGTCTACAGTCAGACAGTAGTGCCTAAATTAGACACTAGAGTCTAAGATTGGACAGAGATGTCTTAAATGGGAAAACAGAGTCCAAAATTGGACACTAGGGTATAAAACTGGACATTAGTGTCAAAATTCAGACACTTGAGCTTACAATTGAACACTATTGTCTAAAATCAGACACCATGTCTTAAGTTGCATTTTAGACACTTGTGTCGAAAATCAAACACTAGAATCTAAAACCAGACACTTGCATTTGAAAGTGTACACCAGTGTCTTATAGTGGACCCACATTGTTTAAAATCGCATTTAAAACTCTGGTGTCTAAGATCAGACATTAGTGTCTAAAATTGGACACTTGTGTCTAAGATCAGACACAAGTGTCTAAAAGCAGACACTAGTTTCAAAAATTGGACACTAATTCTTAAAATCAGACACTGGTGTCTAAAATTGGACAGTAGTGTCCTAAATCAACACTAGTGTTCAAAACTTGACATAAGTGTCCTATCTTGGACAATTACATCCAAAACAGAGACTTGTAGTCAGTTTTGGACACCTCATCAAAAATTGACATTAGTGTCTAAAATAAGACCCTATCATCTAAAATGGGACATAACTGTCTGAAATCAGACACTATGGTATAAATTTGGACCCTATTGTCTGAGATGGGACGCTAGTGTTTAAAATCAGACATTTCTGTGGAAGACTGGAACATAAACCATACCATCCTGTAACTTTACATACCATAACTAAGTGCCGGATCATGTTCTGTTTTATACCACAGTCAACAACTATGACTTTGTATGGATTTCCTTCACCAAAAATTTGTTTTTCCTGAAAAAAAAAAAAAATCAGTATCAATCTTTAATTTCTTTCAATGTACAGTTAACAGAGGAAAGCAGGTGGATTGGAGAAGAAGAATTCAAGGATAGGGTAATTAGAAAAAAGCGATTTGTTATCAGTTACTTGTTATGACTAATTTTATGCCAAAATGATTGAAGGGTAAGTGATCCTTTTCCAGTGGAGTGAGAGATGCTGTGGCCTTGTTGTTAGTGCCCAGGACTCTGAAAGGTCTGAGTTTGAGACCTGGGTAAAGGGCCCTTTGTGTTGTGTTCTTGGACAAAATACTTCACTCCCACAGTGTCTTTCTCTACCAAGGGATATCAATGGGTACCTGCAAACCGTCAGGGAAGCCTGATGAAATACTGGAAAGTGTGGGGTTACCTTGCAATGGATTTGCATCCAGGGGAGAGTAGTGATTGATACTTCTAGTTGCTTCATGCTAGGGAAACTGGGATACACTCTTACTGGGGGGGGGGGGGGGGGGGGGGGGCACTACTTGGGCCCCACCTACAGACTTTGTACCCTAGATTTTTCCCTAACAAAAAGGTAACAGATGGGGCAACTGGTTCTAGATGAGGAGATTGACAGAGGTGAGACCACGGGCAATATGAGGAGTTAAGTACCACCTAAGAGTAACTGCACAGAGGTGGGGTAAGGTGTCAGGCAATGGAGGAGAAAATAGGATCAATGTCTGCATATGAGCAACTCTGCACCTACCCCTCTCCTAACCCAATTAAAAACATTAGGGGAGGGGTAGATGCGCAGTTGTTCAGATACTGAGATTGATTTGGAAAATGCCACAGAAGAAGGGGCTTGCAAAAAGAGGGGAATACACTAATTGATGAAGCTATGGAAAATAATTCTTTAGTGAGATCTGTAGGTTCCTTTCATACATGAAATCAGTCAGTAATATAGAATGAAGTGGATGGAAAGAAGACCAAACCTGGACAGAAACTTCAGCTGTCAAATTCCTCTTATTAGGATCAACAAATTCTACAGGCTGATCTTCAAATTCTATTTTACCAAGGATGGTCCCCTGAAAACCAGCAAAGATAACATCTGATATGAAATAAACAACAAAACATTGCATATAAATTAAAAGATGGTACCTAGCATATAGTTGAGGCTACTGTAGCCAGATGCTGTCAAAATCAGAAAATTTTTCTTCTGCGGATGAAGGTGGACTCTTACATAGACACAAAAAATCCAAAAGACAGAACACAGAGACCCTGTAAAAGTAAATCTATGGAGTATTAGCAAATGGGAAACTATCCATCCTGCTGTCACCCAAAGTAAAGATGAAACCAGGAACAACTCAGGTCACTTTTCCTCTTCATATCTTTTAATGTAGTCAAAACCAACTTGATTTCTACAACTACATTGGACATGTGTGGTCAATGTCTTTGCATACAAAGAAATTTGGAAATTTTTGCAGCATACCTTGTCTCTTATGATTTTGGTCAACATTCTTGTATCTACTCCATACAAGGCTGGAATCTATTTTAAATCAAGGAACACACATTTATATCATTACTTTAAAGCACA